AGGGTGTAAGAGGTTAAATACATAATCAGTCAATCTAAACGGAACATCTATGTCGTTTAACTGGTGGAAGTCGTTTCTTAATTTAATCCCTCCTGAATCTAAACATCAGATTCTGATCACTAAAGTCAAATTTTTGCATCTGTAGTTGTGACAAAATGAAAACTTTTATTTAGATCCAGTGCTTCTAAACTGTTAGAATAATTGTATATAAATGTATCTGTGTATCTTGGGACTGCAGAGTGAGGTGGAGATTGTAAACTCCGCAGTCTCTTCCTACTCTCCTTGTGAGTAAACTAAGTTAATTGTCTCTGTGCCTTCTTTCTTTCCCTGCATGCATGTAGGATGTTTTAGGTGCTTAGACCTGAGATAAACGTTCTCCATCTTTGTAAACACTCACTGCACTCCTTGATGGGCTCGTCGCTCCAGTCCGGACAGTCCCTGTTCTTGTTGCACACCTTGCTCATCTCGATGCACTCCCCGCTGCGACACTTGAACTTCTCCGGGCCGTTGCACTGAGTCACTGCAGAAATGATACAGATGTTAACTCTGCAACCAAACGCCTTCAAACACAGAGCAGAACAATAAAGCAAAGCTGAAGGTGAGAGCGACTATTATCCTCCACTGATGCAAAACCTGCTGTGTAAAGTTCCTTGTAACCCACTGTGTGTGTAAGAAGAAATATTCAGCATTTCTTCTGGTTGATTCTGGAAGGTTGGTCTTGTTAATGGCGACCATCTCTGCTCTGATTACCGAGCCAACATGCTGATCCACAGAGTGAAACAAGGCGGGAATATTTAAGATGCAACAAATCAGAAAAAAATGTTATTTTCTGTTGAAACCAATCTGTTCCTGTTTGGCTGTGACTCCATCCTGGAGAGAAATATCAGCTGTGCTGCTGCCATCAACACTAGATGTTGGAGCTTGGCCTGTTTTCCAGTGTAGTCCTGTTTCTCTGACTGTGACTGACTCTTTGACAGTTGCCTTTTGCATCTATGCTTCTTTTTCTATGTCC